TGACAATTTTTTTAGTCATAATTGAGTTGCATTAGAATTTAATTATTTGTAATCAAAGTCAAATTAGGATTATAAAAGTCCAAGCTATGGTAAAATTAATATAGAGTTGATAGAGTCCAAAAAGAAATCAAAGAAATTTAAGATTTGGACTTGAAGAAGTTGAAATCGAGTAGGACGCCCTTTCATTAACATGTCGCCTAGTCGGCACTCAAGCAGAAGAAGCAAAATTGATGTCGCCCGTCTAGCGTTTGAGCACAGGTGTTTCGCTCACCTATTATTGGCTGGGAGCTTTAGCGACGGGTTGACATCCAGAATCTTGTTTGCTTTAAAATACGTGATTTTCATCCATATTTCAACTCAAACACTTTTCCTTATATATATCATACCCTATGAAAATCCAAAAGTGTGTTGAATCAGATTTATCCCATAGAGTTCAATTATTTGATAATCCAAAACATTCATTGATTTCAAAATTCAATCATCCCATATTACTTGAATAATAAATTCTTCCAAAACATTCATTTGCTCACTAAACGTCCAACTATTTGTTTTCAGGAAATTATACCATACATAAATATAAAGTATCATCTAAGTTTTCCTTTATCTTTTGTTTTATCGGTACCTCCTCAATGGTTGTCTTCCAAGTGTACCTTGTTCTTACCACGAATCATTTTCCTTTGTTACTATCTTTGATATGACCTGCATCGGTTGAATACCCCTTTGTCCCATGCTCTCTTCCTGTTTGTGTGACTACAGGATTGCATGTCATGTTATAGCACATATTCTTCAATAGCTATCCCCAGCCGGTCCAGCCCCTGCAAATAGATGGGATTTTTAGGGGTCAGAGGTAGAAAGAGACATGAAGCGAAGAATATTTAGAACATATATCCAAACCCCAAATGTTTTGCCTCACATCCCACTCCCTCAAATTAAGGCAACGCCGGTGGCATCCTATTTCATGACCGATAGTTATGTTAAGCATAAAAGAATTTATACTCTTATACATGTTGACAGCATCTAAAGTATCAAATCCTGAAAGATAGCAAGAGAATAAAAAATAATTGTCACCATATAAAATAAAATAAAATAACATAAAATTCAATACATTTCATATGTAACCTCCAATCTTTTTAATTACATAAATTGATTTTATAGTCTCATTGATGTCCAATTTCGAAAGTTATTTACGCTTTTAATGATGTTAGAAATTGAATTTCTTTGAATTATAAAGAGAATGGTCCTATTATAATTCAAACTATAGTTTTTATAAGTAAGCCCATTAGACTTAGCCAAACTATTGTTTTTTTTTTTTTTTTGAGGAAAAACATCAAACTATTGTTTATTGAGAAAAGAAATTAAGTTCTGACTTTTTATAAGTGTGATAATTATATAATCAAAATATAACAATAAGTAAGCGGGTACTCAATATTCCCTTGACGAAAATATCTACCTACATGTTAAATGTTCACACGACACGTACGCAATTTGTAACTGCAAGTTGATTTTATAGTCTCATTGATGTCCGATTCCGAAAGTTATTTAGCATTTATGCTTTTAATGATGTTAAACATTGAATTTCTTCGAATGATCATATTATAAGTCACACGTGATTATAAATGAAAACAATGTATATTAATTTGACCCTTTCGGAGCGCTAAATGGGAGAACGAAACGAATTCACGAATATTCGATGTGCAGATAAAAATGGAATAAAAAGATATCGAAAAAGTTAAGTAAGATAACAACAAAGAAGTAACTTTTTTTTTCTTTAAAGAAAAAAAATTAAGTTATTTAAATATATTTAAAATAAAAATTTAGTTAAGATCCATTCAATCCAGTGAGGTAGGCTAAAGATCTATACACAAAAAACAAAAAAGGATTTGGTAAGTTGGCTTGTCGACGTATCTTTGTTCACCCATTGAGCTTCACAATTCTTGAAGTCAGCTTTCAGGCTTGGTTATATAAAATTTGCAACTTAACTTAATTTTCTTTATTTAATTTATTAATTAATCTATCTCACCAGTCACATTATTGATAATATATTTTGTTCGTAACAGGTAAGCGTCATTACAATTGTCGCATAATTTCCAAGTATTTATACTAAAATATTTGTAACTATCGGGATCAAATTTTATTATACTAAACCCAACAAGAGTCGATATTTGACTAAACAACGATAATAATTACAAACTTGCAAATGGGTGCATGTAAACATTGTTAAAATATGGTAGATCCTCCAACAAGATTGACATCGGACAAAATAGTGATTATTCTGCAGGTTGGAACCAATAGACAACAATAGAGAAGAACGCAAGAGAATANAGATTGACATCGGACAAAATAGTGATTAATCTGCAGGTTGGAACCAATAGACAACAATAGAGTAGAACGCAAGAGAATAACACCAAGAAAAACAAGAAAATCTTTATTATTCAACAACCTGAACGAAATTGACCCACAAGTCGGGTTAAATAGTTAGAAAATAATAACTATCGAAATTTTACCAAAAATAGCGAAACCCTGTTATTCATACCAAAAGGAAATACATAATGACATAAATAAGATCTCAAAAATCTCGCTTAATTTGAGATCGTAATTTATGTCAAAAGAAAATTGAAATATTATTAAAAATGGCAAAAAAATAACTTAAATTGATAATTTCCAAGGGAAAACGGCTGAATTTGACCTCGAAATCGATGCATACGGAGCATAGCTCGTGATCACAACGTGCGCGCCGAAAAGAACTTTCCGAATTGGGGTCATGGGCGTAATTCTGACAATCGTAGTCAAAATTATGGCCAAAATA